ACTAGTAAAACATGTATAAGGGTCCAAGAGAGGAAGGGGTGGGAGCAGAGGGGTGAGGATGGGCATGGCTGCACAATCTGGTGGGTGGAGGGAGAGAAGGTAAAGGAAATGAGAAAGATCCAGTGAGGATCTGAAAAGTGAGGGTAATGATGGACATAGTTCAACAGTGATTGATGTTACAAAACACAATGAATGGAAATGATTATATGAAACACAATGTGAATGAAGGACAGTGTGAGATACAATGTATATAAATTTTTTATGCTCACCAATATAAAATTAAAATCTTTAAAAATTTAATGTGAATATAGCCCCCCACTCTGCTTGCTTCTCCTACTGCTCCTTTCTTCCCATTCCCCAGACGTAATTGTCTTTCTTATTCACCTTGCATGTGACATACCTTAAAGCTTTAGCAGTTCATTCTGTCTCAAAGATCCCACTCCTGATACATCATTCGAGTCTCCCTCAGAGAAACCCTCATGGACCTCCCTTCTCCTCTACTCACTTTTCTTCTTAACATTTTTCACTATTTGAGCTGACATTATTTCCTTTGTTACTTGCTAATTGTTTCTCTTTATTAAAACACAGCTTTATGAAGGAAGATTTAATGAGCCATTATATAGGAGCAAATAATGCAAACTGGATTATAAGAAAAATAATATAGCATTAGTATTGGAGGAAGACTCATCAACAACCTATATTATGCAGATGACACATCTTGCTTGCTGACAGTGAAGAATACTTGAAGCACTTATCGGTGAAGATCAACAATTATAACCTTCAGTATGGATTATACCTCAATGTCAAGAAAACAAAAATCCTCACCACTTGACCCATAGGCAACATCATGATAGACAGAGAAAAGATTGAAGCTGTCAATGATTTCATTTTATTTGGATCCACAATCAACACACATGGAAATGGCCATTAAAAATTGATGTATTGCATTGGGCAAACCAGCTGCAAAACATTTCTTTAAAATACTAAAGAGCAAGACTGTCACCTTAAAGACTAAGGTGCTACCTTAGGCAGGGTATTTTCAATCCCTACATAACTATGAGAAAGCTGGACAATGACTAAAGAAGACCAGAGAATATGTGATGCATTTGGGTGTTAGTGAAGAATGCTAAGTGGACCATGGACTGCCAGAACAAAAAACAAATTTGTCTTGGAAGAAGCGTTCTTTAGAAATGAGAATGGTGGACTTTGGTCTCATTTATCTAGGACATGTTATCTGGAGGAACCAGTCTTTAGACTGTTTGCTGAAGTGAAGAGTCAGTAAAACACGAGAGGGAAAACACACTTCTCTTCTTGTGGTATTTTTGTTACAGCAGCAGGAGGTAACTAAAACCCTGGGTATGTGAGATTGTTGTGGAGGGAATTGTGGAGGGGCCTTTGATGAATGTGGTCTCTGGAACTGCTAGGGTGGGAAGGTGCGAAAGCGTGAGCTAAGAGGGAAAGCTCATACAAAATACAGCCAGTAATGAGTCAGGCACATCCTGCCCCAGAGCCAGCCAGTTCCCTCCACCCTTCTCATCCCGCCCGTCCACCCCCACGAGCTGTCACCAGAAATGGCTGGTCCTCTATCGGGAACAAATCCTCTGTGGACTCACCATTCGCCTCAGTGTCGGGGGATGGCTGTGGGCTGTCAGCATATCTCATCACAACCACAGTTTTGTGTCCCTGAGCATTTGCTTCTGCGCCAAAAGCATGCGGGGAAGAAGGCAGGAAAGAAGACTTAGAACCCGGCTTCCCAGCGGACACACAGGGTCGGGGGGAGGGGGGCCTTGGATGCCTCTGAGCCCCAGCAGCCCCTCTTACTCCTCCTCCTGAGGGGCATAGGTGCACGGCTGGAAAGGCCAGAGTCACTGCCAGTGAAGAGAACCTGTAACAGACTCACTGTCTGCTTTGTGTTTTCATTTCTTTTAAAATTTTACATACTCTTTGGGTAATTCAGAATGAGCTTAGGCGTCTTTTAGAAGTCTACACGACACCTACCTCAATGCCAAACCTATCAGATGTGTGGAATGGTGAAAAGATTCGTGATACAGGATGAAAAGATGGTGACTGAAGACAGAACCCCAAGTAGACAGAGGTGTCCCGACATCAAGTACTCATTAGCCTATTTACATTGTTGTTGTTGTTATGATGT